ATATCTCAGTGGATTAAAAAGCATTTCCTCAATGATATGGTTTGGTTGTGTCCCAACCCAAACCTCATCTTGAAGTGTAGCTCCCATAATTCCCACATATCATAGGGGAGGTACCGGGTAGGAGGTAATTGAATCATGGGGGCAGGTCTTTCCTATGCTGTTCTCGTGATAGTGAATAAATCTCACAAGATCTGATGGTTTTGTTTTGTTTTGTTTTTGAGACGGAGTTTCACTCTTGTTGCCCAGGCTGGAGTGAGTGGCGCGATCTCAGCTCACTGCAACCTCCGCCTCCTGGGTTCAAGCGATTCTCCTGCCTCAGCCTCCTGAGTAGCTGGGATTACAGGCATCTGCCATCATGCTTGGCTAATTTTTTGTATTTTTAGTAGAGATAGGGGTTCACCATGTTGGCCAGGCTGGTCTTGAACTCCTGACCTTAGGTGATGCACCAGCCGTGGCTTCCCAAAGTGCTGGGATTACAGGCGTGAGGCACTGCACCCAGCTGACCTGATGGTTTTATAAAGGTATGTTCCCCTGCAGATGTTCTCTCTTGCCTGCCACCTTGTAAGAGGTGACTTTGCTCCTCCTTCACCTTCCATGATTGTAAGGCCTCCCTAGCCATGTGGAGCTGTGAGTCAATTAAATCTCTTTCCTTTACAAATTACCCAGTCTCAGGTATGTCTTTATTAGCAGCATGAGAACAGACTATTTAATACACTCAACTTCCATATTTCTTTTTTTTTTTTTTTTGAGACAAGAGTCTCGGTCAGCCACGCAGGCTGGAGTGCAGTGGTGTGATCTCGGCCCACTGCAACCACCATCTCCCAGGTTCAAGCAATTCTCCCATCTCAGCCTCCCGAGTAGCTGGGATTACAGGCACCTGCCATCATGCCCGGCTAAGTTTTGTATTTTAGTAGAGATAGGGTTTCACCATATTGGCCAGGCTGGTCTTGAACTCCTGACCTCAGGTGATCCCCCCGCCTTGGCCTCCCAAAGTGCTAGGATTACAGGTGAGAGCCACCGTGCCTGGCCTCAATTTCCGTATTTCTAAGAAAAAGAACATTTTCCTACATAACCACAAAATCATTATGACACTCAGGAGACCTATAATTGATTGATAATATTATCTAAAACAAGTCACTTCAAAATTTTCCCAACTGACACACCAGAGTAGCTGGGACTACAGGCACATATCACCATCCTCAGTTAATTTTTGTATTTTTTGTAGAGACGTGTTTTCACCATGTTACCCCAGGTGGTTTCTGAACTGAGCTCAAGGGATCCACCCACTTCGGCCTCCCAGAATGCTAGGATTACAAGTGTGAGCCAGTGCACTCGGCCTGTAGTTGTCTTAATTTAATGTTTTTTTCTTTCTTCTTTTTTTCTTTTCTTTCTTCTTCTTTTTTTTTTTTTTTTGACAGAATCTCACTCTATCACCCAGACTGGAGTGTAGTGGCCTGATCTCGGCTCACTGCAAACTCCGCCTCCCAGGTTCAAGTGATTCTCTTGCCTCGGCCTCCCAAGTAGCTGAGATTATGGGCGCCTGCCACCAAACTTGGCTAATTTTTTGTATTTTTACTAGAAATGGGGTTTCACTATGTTGGCCAGGCTGGTCTCAACTCCTGATCTCCAGTGATCCGCCTACCTGGGCCTCCCAAAGTGTTTCTATTACAGGCATGAGCCACCATGCCTGGCCAATTTAATGTTTTTCTATTTTTGTTTTAAAATATTTACCCATTCTAAGTCCAAAGATATTTTCCTATATTATATTCTAAAGGCTTTATAGTTTAGGATTTCACATTTAGGTCTTAATCCAACTGGAATTGATTTTTGTGATGAAATGAGAGAGGTCCTGTTTTGTTTTTTTGTTTTGTTTTGTTTATTTTTGAGACAGAGTCTCCCTCTGTTGCCCAGGCTGGAGTGCAGTGGTGTGATCTCTGCTCACTGCAACCTCTGCCTCCTGGTTCAAGCGACTCTCCTGCCTCAGCCTCCCGGGTAGCTGGGACTACAGGTGTGTGCCACCACACCCAGGTCATTTTTGTACTTTTTAGTAGAGACAGGGTTTCACCATGTTGGCCAGAATGGTCTCGATCTCTTAACCTCGTGATTCGCCCGCCTCGGCCTCCCAAAGTGCTGGGATTACAGGCGTAAGCCACCGTGCCTGGCCTTCATATTGTCAGAACCTTCATTGAATACACCGTTTTTTCTCCATGGCTGTATGATACCACCTTTGTCACAAATCCAGTTTTCAAGTATAAGTGATAAACCGTAAAGAAAAGCAAAGAATCAAGTATCTGCTTTTGGTAAAAATAAATAAATAAATAAATAAATAAATAAATAAATAAATAAATAAATAAATAAAAATAAGAAAAGCAAAGTGTCATAGAAGTCGGGCTAGTGGTTTTCTCAGGAAGTGTATCTGCGAAGAACCTGACACTTCTTTTTTCGCTCTAATGACTTGTCTGTTCATAATAATTACACTTTGCTTTATATTTCAGAATAAAATTGTGTTATATTTATCAATAAAAGTTTAGTTAAAAGTAAGCAAACAGAAAAAAATATATATATTGATGAGGGAAGCGCCAGCATCTCCCAAAAGTGAGTTCGTGGTTTTGCTCTCACTGGAAAAGCTGGCGGGAGGTGCTAAGGTGGGGATGCTGAATCCACGGATGGCCAAGCCTAGACGCAGCACTTCACCGGGGGCAGCGACGGGCCCAGACCTTGCTCGGACTGTCCTGGTGGTAACTGGGAGACTTTGCCAGAGAGGGAGCTTACAGGTCAGCTGCGCCCGGAATTAAACGACCCACAGACAGCGGCGCAAACACAGGGACTGACCGGCTTTAGCGAGCTCCCAAAACCTGCCCTCGCATAAGCAGCACCCTCCGCCGCCCACAGACACAGATTTCCACCCCAGCCGCAGGCTCGGGAGGTAGGCGGCGCCGCGAAGGCCTCTGGGAAGGCGGTCCGTGGGCAGCCGCGGGGCACTCTGGGACTGGGCTCTGGGCGGCTTTTTTGCAAGTGGCGGGGCAGGCGGTGTAGACCGCTCCGGCAGCGCGCTCTGCCCGGCTTCTTCAGTCTCCTCGCTGGGAGCGTCCGGGAGCAGCTCCGAGGCCGCGGCGAAACCAGGTGGAGTCCGAGGTTCGGAGGAGTATCCGAGGTTAGGGGAAGGCCGGAGAATGGGGTGGGAGGCTGCGTTTCGGAGCCTAGGGTTCTGTTCCTGCGATCGCCGCGTTCCCCTCCCTTGGTGGGAGCGGCTCCCCTCGCAGGCCGGGTTCCGGTTCTGGACCTTCGCCCTCGGAACACGGTGCTGTCGGCCGGGACTCCTTCCCGAGGTGGACGACTCCTTGCTCTCATTCCTGGCTCTGCCAGGACTGTAGGAAGTACGTAGTACACTTTAGGGCATGCATGGCACTCCCTGGGAGACAGTGCTTTAGGGCCAGAGAAAAGATCTCCGCTGAAGGCAAACGCCCGCGCAGCCCACAAGTCCGGGCTGCACTCAGCAAGTCAGGATGTTGCCATCGGCAATTCCGCAGAAGGCAGGAGCCCATCAGAGAGAAAGAGCCGCTGTCATAAGGTCTCTTGCCTGAGCTGTTAGGTAGAGAATGGAGCTGGAAGAGGGAACTGATCTCGGAGCTCCTCGGGGACCTTGGTTATGTTTGACCCTTTTACTTTCAGGGAGCGGGGATTGGCTCGTCACTGCATCCAGAGTACGGGGGAAACGAAGAAATCTTGGAGAGAGTTTGCCCCAGGAGAGAGGCGAGCCTTATGTAGACTAGGATCTGGGGTGGGTAACTGGGGTGGGTAACAGTCTGTGCAGTGTGAATCTGAGAGGAGAAAACACCCAACATGGGAATGGTCAGGTAAGAAAGGACCAGAAGTTCCGGTTCTACGATAGCAAGGACCTAAGTTGCTAATTTAGGTTCTTTAATGCAGACCTGGTCTTTCAAAACTTCTTTCTCTTCCCTAGCCTTGTCATTTCAGCATTCTGGCCTTCCCTATGAGGAGGGAGATCAACTAAGTCACAGGTGAGTAAGAGTTTCTTCTCTTCTAAAGTTTAATCTCCTTTGTCAGGGGGAATCGATACACTCTCTCATCTCTTACTTGGGAAAAACAAGATCTATCTTTATCGAGTGCTAATATGTGTACTATATGTTATCACTCAATGGTCGGATAGCTGAGTAGGGTTAGTAGGTATTTTAAAGATGTGTCAATAACTTAAGGAAAACTAGAACCTTGTCCAAGCTTACTCAAAAGGCAAGTAGCATACTACTAAATGCTACCGAACCACTCAGAATTAGGTTCAGAATCCAGATCTGTAGGAGGACTCTCACTCTTGGCATTATGCTATTTCCCAGCATGCCATTCACTTACTACCTAACAATTTTGCCCTACCTGTGTACTACCTGTGTTATTCTTATATGTTTTTACTTACTTTTGTTAAATCAAACTTGTCCTAAGAAACAATATCTGTGAAATTAGCCATTTGATGGCTGCTCCAATAACAGTATAGTTATTCTAAGGTGTATCTAAAAATGTCAGTCCATGCGCTATGTAAAATCGTCTCGTGTCAGAGATACAAACTACAATTTGGGACACAATGCACTGCATTATGCTCTCTTCTGGATTCTTTTCTGGGTAGGAAAGTCCCAGCCGCACATCTGAGTGTCAGTTATCCATTCTTAGTGTGCTGTTTTATTCTTATAGATGAATACTTTCACAGAGAATGCCCCGCTTTGTATCTTCTCCAAAAGACATTTCACTTCCCTGTTTAGGACTACCTGTTCTCAATGTTGTATGTAAAACAAGTAGGAACTCCATACATTTCAGGAGCTTACTCTCTCTTTGGGGAGTTAATGTGTACACAGAAAATAGAGTAACTCTGTGCTGTTCAATAGAGCTTTCTGTGATCAGGGAACTGTTCTCTATCTGTGCCTTATCTGTATCCACCAGCCAGATGTACCTGCTGAGCATTTAATACATGGCTAGTGCAACTGAGAAGTGAGTTTTATTTTAATTAATTTAAATTTAAGTAGCCACGTATGGCTAGTGGCTACTAGTGATTACCATATTGGACAGCCAGGTCTAGATATTTGAAATAAAATATTTTAAGATTAATTGATTTGGACTTGGAGTTCTCCCTTACCCCCCACGAAAACCTCATAGCATATATGTTACAAATGCGCTTTAACTTTAGTTTCTTAGTGAAGGGTAAAGATTCTTACCAATTTTCAGAGACTTCATAGTTGAAATAGTTTCTTGAAATTATTTAAAGCACATTTACGGTTTATAACACTTGTGCAAATGTACAGCTTCTGTGTTTTGTTACTATTGAAATATCCTGTAAAGCAATAACTTTATAGGATACTCTATAAGCAAAAGTCTCACTATTGTGTTATTTGTGTTCATTGCAGATAACTTTCCTTCTAGCTATCTATGTTTTCTTTTATTAGTGACATTTAGACTATTTAAAAATCAGTTAAACACAACCACAATTGATATTAATGACGTTTTCAGGGCATCACTTCTTACGCTTTGACATAGGAGTTGGTGCGTTCAACTTATTTCTCTGCTTATTAGAATAATAGAATAACAAGAAGAAGACATTTGGTTCATAGCTATCTCTATCAGCTTAAATTCTGTGTCAAATTATTTATTTTCCTGGCACTCAAAGTCAAACACTAGTGGACTGGTTGCATCTTGTTTTGTTTACTCTCTATGCAGGTTAGATATGTGGGGTTAGGAGGAAGGCTTAAAAAGAGTATCTTCATAATTTACCTAGTTTCTTTTCTTTTTTTTTTTTTTTTTGAGACGGAGTCTCGCTCTGTTGCCCAGGCTAGAGTGCAGTGGCGCAATCTCAGCTCACTGCAAGCTCAGCCTCCTAGGTTCACGCCATTCTCCTGCCTCAGCCTCCTGAGTAGCTGGAACTATAGGTGCCTGCTGCCACGCCCGGCTAATTTTTTGTACTTTTAGTAGAGATGGGGTTTCACTGTGTTAGCCAGGATGGTCTCGATCTCCTGACCTCGTGATCTGCCCGCCTTGGCCTCCCAAAGTGCCAGGATTACAGGTGTGAACCACTGTGCCCGGCCACCTAGTTTCTTAAGATTAAAAAATACTTGAAAGACAAAACAATCAAACATAATGTGTGGTCTTTGTTTCCTGGATTAAAGAAAAGCTATCTGGGACATTTTGAGGACAGTTGGGGAAATTGAAATATGAACTGGAATGTTAAGGAATTACTAATTTTGTTAGATGTGATAATGTAGTTATGAGGAGAATGTCATTTGGAAGATAGTATTGTGGTTATGAAGAATGCCATTTGGAAATGTATGCTGAAACATTTAGATTTTAAAGTGTTATGATGTCTGTAATTTACTTCAAAATAGGTCAGCCAAAACAAAAAAGTACACACACAAGAAGCAAATACAGCAAAATGTCAGCAGTTGTTCATCTACATGGTGTGGACATGGGTGTTCATTGTTTTATTCTTTCTACTTCTCTGTATGTTTGAAAATCTTTTTTTATTTTTATTTTTTTTGAGACGGAGTCTTCACTCTGCCGCCCAGGCTGGAGTGCAGTGGCGCTATCTCAGCTCACTGCAACCTCCGCCTCCTAGGTCCAAGCAATTTTCCTGCCTCAGCCTCCCGAGTAGCTGGGATTACAGGTACCTGCCATCACACCTGGCTAATTTTTCATATTTTTAGTGGAGATGAAGTTTCACCATGTGTTGGCCAGGCTGGTCTCAAATTCCCGACCCCAGGTGATCTACCTGCCTCGGCTTCCCAAAGTGCTGGGATTATAGGCTTGAGCCACTGTACCCGGCCTTGAAAATCTTTATAGTAAAAAGTTGAAAGAAAAAGGGTAGTGAGATACTGGATGTAAAACACTTGGCTCAGTGTCTGGCACACAATAATTAACCACATAATAAATACTCTCTGTTATAGCAGTAAATTTTGAGTTTTTAATCTCTAATAGGCAGATTTTTTTCCCATTATAAGCTAGTTTCTTGTGGAGGGAGAAAATAAACTTAATGGGAAACCCCAGTTTAGTGACAGACACCAATTTCTAAAATATATATATTTTT